TAATAACGTGCCTTTTGCTTTTTAGAATAGAAAATGCAATGAAAATGAGTTATCAAAGAGTGGATGCTTCATCCAAGGTAAAGTATTGCCTATCCTTGAATTACATTCTTGCAAATTTGCAATGTTCCATAGATTCAAGTTTAGCAGCAATTTTTACTACACCTGTTACTTTGCTGAGATATAGCATTGGAGTTCTCACGATCAACGACATCAAATTTGCCACAAATGCTAAATTTTTGCTACACGTTACTTTGTTTCAAGATAGAGTATTACCTATCATTGACACTCTTGCAAATGTTCTATAGATTCAAGTTTAGCAGCAATATTTGCTACACCTGTTATTTTGTTGAGATATAGCATTGGAGATAGGGATGTCAACGAGATCCCATGGGGTCGGGGAGTCCCTCCCCGCAGGGATTTTTGACAAGGGACAGATTTTACCTCCCGTCCCTATTTCCCACCAATTAATATTAAATTATAAAATTTTTTGTCTTTTACATATAATTAATTAATATTCAATTATAATGAATAAAATTCTAAAAATTCAAATACAATTAACTAAAATTTTTAAATATAAAATTAAATATAAATTGTCCAAATATAAATAAAAATCAATTCAACATAAATAACTAAACCAACAATTAACAAATTGTTCTAAACATAAACAAAGATTAATCCAACTAAACTAAAACATAAGCAAAAATTAATCTAACATAAACAAAATAATTAAACCAACATAAAAAAAAAATAAGTATTTTGAAAATAAAGAAAATCAGTACCAAGAAGGGCAAGGCTGCAACAGAACCGCATATGGTTTCGGCAGTCCAGATAGCAGCAAGTAGATGGCTTCGGCAATTTGGCAGCAGCAGGCAGATGGCTTCGACAACATCAGACTAGGGAGGGAATGGGATTTGAGATGGTCTGGCTGTTGCAAAGGAGAAAATAAGGGGTGGCAGATGGTGAGCACTGAGAAGGGTAAGGGTAGAATCGTAGAAGGGTGGCAATGGAATGGAGGGCATTCATATGGTAGAGTCGCATAATAGAAGGAGAGGGAAAGTCGGGGAAGGTGAAAATGAAAATTGAGAAATGAATTAGGGTTAGGGTTAAATATATGTAGGGGAATGGGTTGGGTTGGGTAAAATTGGGTTAAGTTTAATTTTGATTGAATTAGGTTTAAGCTTGAATTTGAGTTTGAGTTTGGATTTGAGTTTAAAAGTTGAATTAAATTTAAAATAAAATTAATTTATATTTGTTTTAATTTTTACGGGGACAAGGATCCTTGTGGAGCTCTACAGGGTAAGAGAAAATTTCTCATAAAATTTCATGGGGAAAAAATGCTCCCCATCCCCATCTTACAAAAAGAAATATTCTTCCCTGTCTCGTCCTTGTGACGGGGATCGGGGAAATTGTCATCCCTAATTGGAGTTCCCTCAATTTTCTTGCTCTGCGCGTGCGCTAAAATAGCTTGATTCTAGAAAATACTATAGCACAGTTGATAGACCCTATTATAGTTGATATCACGGTTTTTGTTGGGATAATAATAAAAGCCCAACACTTTGGCCCAGTTCAGTGTTAGCATGGGCTAGTTTCTGAATTAGGTGCATGTTATAATGGGCTCATGAGTTATTTATGTTTATCCATTCCAAATCCCATTAAAAATAATTACATAAATAAAGTTGCTTTTTCTTTGAATCCTTTTTCTATGCTTTCGGTGTTTGGTTCTAATCTAAAATCTAGTAAGTAATTGGAATTCCATTCAATTAATCTTCTAAATAAAATACTATAAAATAGGAAAATTTTCAATTAAATATATTATCTTAATGATTTTATAATTGATTTAATGATTCATAACCCATATGTTTTTTTCTACCTACATCTATTTCTTTCAATTTAGATTTTTATCTATCTATATATATATATAGAATTATATATCTTTTTTTATAAAATATTTTTTTAAAAATTATATATCTTATAATAAGAATTATAAGTCTTATAAATTTTATATCAACCTAGTTGTTGGATAAAATAATAAATGATGTTTTATAGGATATGTTCAGAGTTTAAATTTTAAGATCAATACTAAAAAAATTAATCTTTTTAGATTAAGAATCCTTATCCCCTTGAATTCTCACAAAAAATTGTCTTTTCCCTTCAAATCCCTTTTTAAGGTGAAAAGGGCAATTTAACCCTATGCTTGCCCCATAGTTACAAATCAGCTCGTCAACTAAAAACATGCATAACTTAGCTACTTAACATATCATATTATAGGAAAATCAACCCTATTTTTATGGCTTACATTAGCAAACTATTCCAGATGGAGAGATGTTTTTGGTGGAATTCGACACTTAAATGGCAACGAGGGGCCATTTTTATCCTATTGGTGCTTATGTGACATGGGAGTAAAGCAAAATTGAAAGAAAGAAAAAAAAAGAATAAGAAATCTCTCTTTAATTTAGTCTTTCTTCTTGTCTCCATCTCCACCTTCTTCTTTCTTCCTCCCTCTCTCACCTTTCTAACTACACAAGAACATCATCGATGAAGATCTTTGCCACAACACAAGATCAAGTTTAATGAAGTACATTTTCAAAATTAACCTTCATAAATATTCTAATTTGCAAAATTTTCCCCTACTTCAAATAACATTCTTAAAACCTCTACCCAATCCACCAAAAGACCCCTATCCAACTTTGACATGTGCCTAAAGAATAGTCTAACAAACCTAAACCATATATTGAGAATTCTTGAATCTAAGTCTTTTTTTTTTTTTTTTTAAATTTTGATTGCCAAAATATTTTGAATTTACATCAAATAAGCATTAAAACAATGTCAAAATGTACTAGCTAAATAGTCAAAGAGAGAAAAATAATAGTTACTAACATCCTTTGTCAAATAAGGAGCCATTTGCAAGTATATGGAAAGTTTGACAGTTTAAAAAGCTTCTATATTTAGTTAAAGAGATTATTTGTCACCATTCAATGAGTACAAGGGCCAATTTGCCTTTTTGCTAATTTTAAATGTATAGTTGTTAATTTGGCGCCTATATATGGTAGGTACGAGAATATTGCAGTTGGAATTACCAATTAAAGGGAATGCAAACTTATTCTTGATTATTATAAATAAGTTACAACTCAAGGTGTTCTCCATCTTAAAAAAATGGCTTCTTCTCCTAAATATACCATGCTCCTAATTATCCTATTTGGCTTTTTCCTAATTATAAATGATGCAAGTTTTTTTAGACCACACAAAGTATATGTTCAAATCTCCAATGACATAGGCCTTGGGATTGAACTCACTATTCATTGCAAGTTGGGGGATGATGATCTTAGAAAACAAAAGCTTCAATACCAAGGTATTTGGGGATTCAGATTTCAACCTAATTTTTGGGGCACAACACTATTTTATTGTTCTACTAAATGGCAAGATCAGCTTCGTTACTTCAATGTTTTTTGATTGGAATAGAGATTTTAGGGAATATATTGAGTTTTTGTACTCTATAGTGCCAACTAACCCTTGCAAGTACAATCTCAATACCAATAAATATGATATATGTTATGAATGGAACAAGTAAGATGCAGTGCGAAGGTTGAGAATATTTGGGCATATTCATTTGTTGTTGAGAGTAAAATAAATAAATACATTATATCCATCAATTAAATTTACAAAGATAAAATCGTAAATATTTTTTATTTTCATTTCATGTTGATGCAATATGTCCTTTATTTTATATTTGAAATTTCACTTGCTTTGTGATAGAAAGTATAAATCCATTAAATTATTCTCTTGGATTTGATACATCAAAAGCGAAAGAAAAGGTTTACTAAGAGCCCTGAAAGCTTGTTTAATTGGTGGTAGTGATTATTCCTTAGTCAAATAATAAAAAAAATATGAAAATTGAGAAATTTTCATAAAGAGTTAGAAATAGTTACCTTAATGTCTAATTTTCATATTAAATTAATCAAAGAATACTTATTCCTTAAAAATGGAAAGAATACAAATTTCGAATTCATCCCTTAGTTTAGTGAAAAATTATCAACATTAAGGCTTAGACTTCATTTGCCATATTTCTCATGCCTCTTTTACATGGTACCTTATTTAAAAATGTAAAATTATTATTATTAATTAGTTTTAATTAATATTTTAAAATATTTTTACTAATTTTAATTAATATTTTAAAATATTTTTACTAATTTTAATTAATATTTTATATATTTTTGGATAATAAAAGGCAAAAAAAAAAAAAAAAAACCTATCACTATAGCACAATACAATATAAATAAATGAAGCCTTAGCAATTTCTAACTTCCTAAGAAAGTTCTTCAAATCTAACTTATTTTATGGTTGACCAAAAAAAAGCCACTATCACCGACCAAATATGGTTTTATCTTTGTGCAAATTGGAAATGGCATAGATAAAATAGAGCTTTGTTCGAAGCACAAATGTTTTAGCCCTATCTTCTGTGAAATATTCTATACAAAAATTAGTAACGATACGTTTCAATTAGCATCCACTCATCTTTGAGAGGCTTCAACATTATGTTCCAATTAACAACCACACTGGACATTTTTACAGTTGATATGGCCAAATTTGGAACACAAAAGCTGGACTTTTGGGATGAAGACTCTCTAAGTTTTGCAACAATACTAGCACTTGTCATGACAATGGGAAGAGTTCTTCCTTCCGAGATAGTTAACAGCTGAATTGAGTACGATTAAGTGGTAAAGGCAAAAAAGTCGTTGTCAAAATTAGAGGAACTGATAATGTCAATGCAAAGTTTCAAGACATGATATAGATGTTAGTGAACTAATAAGGTGATTTTTGAATATTAGAAGATTAGTACAAGAAAATATTATTTTAATGATTAAATAACTAATTTAATGATTTATTACCCATATTGTTTTCTATCTATATTTATTTCCTTTTATTTAGATTTATGTATATATATATAGAATTATATATCTTATATATTTTTATAAAATATTTAAAAAAATTATATATATTATAATAAGAATTATAAGTCTTATAAATTTTTTATCAACCTAGTAGTTAGAGAAACTAGTAAGTGATGTTTTGTAAGATAAGTTTAGAGTTTAAATTTTGGGATCAACACTAATAAATAAATAAATAAATAAATAAATTTTTTAGGATTGAGAATCCTTATCCCTCTGAATTCTCACAAAAGTTGCCTTTTCCCTTTCTTTCCTATTTTAAGGTGAAAAGGGCAAATCAACACTATACTCGCCTAATAGTGGCAAATTAGCTCAACTAAAAACATGTAGAACTCAATTGCTTAACATATCATATTGTAGTAAATCAACTCTTATTTCACAACAGTAAATAGTTCCAAATGGATAGGTGGTTCTAGTGGAATTCGACAGTTAAATGGCAATGATGGGCTGTTTTTATCCCACTGATGCTTATGTGAAATGGCAATAAAGCAAAATTGAAAAAAAAAGAAAAAGAAAAAGAAAAAGAAGTTTCTCTTTTTGTCTTTATTCTAGTCTCCATCTCCACCTTTTTCTTTCTTCTGCCTTCTTTAACCCCTCTAATTGCACAACAACATCATCGACGAAGATCTTGCTAGCCACAATGCAAGATCAAGTTTAATGAAGTACCTTCATAAATCTTCTAATTTGCAACATTTTCCCCTACTCCAAATAACATTCTAAAAACCTCTATCTTATCCACAAAGACTTTCTCTCCCATCCAACTTTGATATGCACCTAAAGAATAGTTTAACAAACCTAAACTATATCTTGAGTACTCTTGAATCTAAGTTATTTTACTTTATTTTGATTACCAAAATATTTTAAATTTTGCGTCAGGTAAGCATTAAAACATGTCAGAATGTACTAGCTAAGTAATCAAAGACAGAAAGATAACAGTTACCAACATCATCTATCAAATAAGGAGTCATTTGCAACCATATGAAAAGTTTGAGGGTTTAAAAGCTTCCATATTTAGTTAAAGAGATTATTTGCCACCATTCAATGAGTATAAGAGCCAATTTACCTTTTTGCTAATTTTAAATGTATAATTGTTAATTTGGTGCTTATGGTAAGTATGAGAATACTATATTTGGAATTACCAATTAAAAGGAATGTAAAATTATTCTTGATTATTATAAATAAGCTACAACTCAAGGAATTCTCCATCTTAAAAAAATGGCTTCTTCTCTTAAATATTCCATGCTCCTAGTTATCATATTTGGCTTTTTCCTAGTTATAAATGATGCAAGTTTTTTTAGACCATAC